GTCACATATATGCCCAAAACTCTGTTCCTGGTCGCTCTCATCATATACTGGCACATGTGGAGATTGTTTCATAGCCACGCTGTGTGGCAAATCGCTGTGTGGATGCAAGAGTACTGCATTGTTGTTGCTTGATAAACGTTTTCCAACTGCATAAGATTCTCCTGGTCCCAACTGTTGATCTGTGCTCTGACCCTGCTCAATCATATAGTGTTGTGTCAACACTGTTCTTCCATATGGAATGGGATCGAATGAAATGATACAACCTTTCAAACGCTGTTGCTGCTTACATTGTTGCATAAATACTATTTAGTGTGAACAGTAAACATTCGATAATATACTTGTTGTCAGGCATCGCCAACAAGTGCCTGTGCTTGATGGGAGTTCTCATGAATCACCTCCTACACAGCCCTATTCGCCAGAAAATCCCAGATGCCAAGAGTCTCCATTAGGACCACCCTTTCAGGAATTTGCTGCTGGCAAAATCTTTTCACTAGTGCCAAGTGGACAAGGTACTCAAATATCACTATTGGGAAGGAGCTTCTCTGTTTCATACTCTGCTTCCCTCATTTGAAAATGACAGGGCACCCCTGCAGTCACAGCTCTTCCAGGTTTATGAATGCGCATCAACCTCTGCCCAACGCCACTCAATTCGGAACCTAAACTTCTCTTGTTCCCAGTTTTATGTGGCCTTCATCTACTGAAACCACAACAGCGGCAAACCATTCTGACTACCACAATGCACACAGGCAGCAATGTGGTGGCAACCAAAATTCGCTTTCGGCAGCCTGGCACGATTAGCAAGATTTGACATGGCGATAGGAGATGCATGCAGTAGTTGGACTCATGCTGTTGATTTGTTTCGTCTGGTGCTCTGTTGAGCCTGCTAGAGCTGTGCTGAGCTGTCTTGAGAAGTCTTGCTGCTGTTCCAAAAAAATAGGCACAACCAACGTTGAAGGAGCAATGGTGACGCCTTGTCATTTCATATAAATTATAAGCAAACCAGAATTGCACAATAGCACTGTGTACGGTGTGTGCTGTGGCGATAGACGTGTTAGATGCTTGTTTGACGCAGAAAGATCAGCACAGCATAAGGTTGAGCAGCCCACACACACCCGCAATGCCTTCCCATCTTCCAACGAGCCTGGGTTGGTGCTCATCATCTTTGTGATTTCAATGTACTCCAGCAGCTTTGAATACGTCGTCTTTATCGCGCTGATGTTTATGCCCGGTTCCTGAGGTCCAATGCACAAGGCTTGAGGCCAGAGCGAACGCTGCTAAGAACAAAAGCCCTTGTGCACAGTACACAACGACAGTGCTGATGCTGACTGGTCACCAAAAACACAAAAACACTCTTGAGGTCCCCATGGTACCAAAACAACTGGGAAAACCAGAACGTAGATGAACGTCTTTGCAAAAGCACTGTAACTTGCTGTCGGACATCCCCTTTGTAGCGTAGACTGTCAACTGAGCAACTTGCGGCAACCAACAGCATTGAGACAAATGGTGACAGCCAGAGGCACACTATTGCATACCTGTAACATTCCCATTGCTTCCATGAGCTGCCTCAGATGCTCTCCAAGGTCTTCCAGGTCCTCGATTCCCTTTGAATCGCTCAGCTGACGGCCAGGGTACCCTTCATCCTGCAGATCGTACCCTGGCGGCCCCACCTGGCATTTGAAAGTGGTCAGGGCATCCAACAGAAATGTGGTCAGTCACAACTGGCAGCAATCTGCAATGGTGTTCCCGCTGACTGTGCATGGTATATTGGGACACCCGCAGAAAGTGTTGCCTCAAAACTGACTTGACGGATGGTAAAGGTTGCAGCGGCATACCGCAAAACATGTTGTGCATTGCACGAAGGGTTAATGAAGAATGGTTCATCGGCGATTGGCAAAATCAAATAACAGAGGAGTTCTGCTAAGTTTCGAAATTTCTGTGAACAGCCAGCACATCAATGCTGTGTCAGGTACAGCAGTTTGGGAAGCCACCAGCATGCATGTGGACTGCGCAGTCAGCATAGTTATGGGCAACAGCATCTGCAGAACTTGTCGCTGCCGCTCCCATTAGCAGGAATGGTCACAGATGCGCACTGCCCACACAACAGCCGTGAACTGGCAAACTGACCTCAGCACTGCCTTCATCGCCCCATGGCAATACTCTGCCAACTCCTTGCCACTCTGCCTACGCACAAGCTCCCAAAGTTACTTTCCACTCTCTGTAGATTCCAATTGGGCAGTACTGTTTCAACCCTGTTAGACTGGATACAAAATATAGCCTCTACAAAACTGCAAGATGCAATTGACAGCAAGGACTCCCATCCCATGCACAGCACTATTGTTTGCTGTGGATACGAGAGCAGATGCACAATCTATCCAAAAGGCCACGTGTCTGTATCCAGCCATTGCATGTCCATCACACTTCGGATGTGATGTGCATATCAGCACAGCACGCACAACCCTTAGACCATCAAGTATTGACAGTCAGGTGCTGTCGACACGATGCTGATAGCGCAGAGCACCACACGAAAAATAGAACCACACCACACCTAACATTTGTATTCACGGGTATTTTCTTATGGCATTCATGAAAGCCATCAAGCAATCCAGGGGGCACATTCCTCCTGCCAGCATCACCACATGTCACTGCTCCATGCCTGTGCTCACCTTTGGTGATGGCTCTTGATCTTTCTTGGCTTTGAGAATCTCCTGCTGGGCAGCCTCCAGCTGTTCAGTCAATCGTTGCTTGTCTTCTGTCAGCCGAGCCACAACCTCCTTGAGCTCAGATATCTCTTGGTTGAGGGCATGTCGCTCCTTCTGCACAGGAACACAAAGCTACACAAACTGAGAACAACATCAGCACCCTTTCAACATGATTATGCCCAATGTAAAGCCCATAAAACATTTGTTATCTAAGCTGTGACACAACACATATACTGCCTCTGTCCAATATTAATCGCCAAGTATTTGAAAGAACATTTTCGTCACAAAAAATGGCATCTGAATTGCAAAAGGAGGCCAGAATCGGAAAGATAGGGTCCAAAACTCTTAACTGCCAATTTCCAAGAAGAAAAAGTGTCCCCCGACCCGTTTGAGCATTGGGTGAAAGGTAAATTTTGGTTGTTCTTCAGGAAAAAATTGGAGGTTTACTAGGCAGAACATCTTTGCTACAGTGTGCCACCAAAACCACAGTACTTAATGGATTGACTTTATTTTTTGACCCGACACTCTGTGCTCATAGAAATACCTTTGCATGACGTTTCAATGAATCTGAAGTTCTTATGATGGAGAAATAGTGCGCCAAAGTCATAGACGGCAATTAATATTGGATGGAGGAGTATATTCCAGTCCTGAACAGTGCCATCAGTTTCCGCAGATCTTGACAAACAGGTACCACGTCACAAATGCAAAAACAGTGCTTTGTCATGCGTCTGGCAAATGCAACAACCAAGGGCAACGTGATAAGCCATAAGGTGGCACTTTTGAAGGCAGCTACACTGCTTCGAGGTGAGCTTGAGGTCTGCTGTGTTTTGTGCCACAAGTGCTGTTGTCGTTGAAATTGAAGCGTTGAGCGCTTAGAATCCTGACTGTTTGTTGTGTCACTAAACATATGCAATGAAAGCCAAACCTGCACATGCTCACAGCAACCAAGACAGCTTTGCACATGTCACTGCCATGGGAACAGACTTACAGACAGTGCACAATACGCTCCGCTACTGAGCAGCATATGAGATCATTCGCTGCAAAAGTTCCTGAAGCTCACCGTTGCCAAGGCGTTGCCTTTCTTCAACAGCCGACAGGCCCGCTCCGCGCACTCTCGTTGCTTTGCAAGCTCCTCTTCAGCCCTGGTGCAAATCCCTCAGGACACCATGAGGACAATGCATGCTACTAAATGCACACTTCCATCACCAGGGCTTTGACTGTGCATCATATGCCACCGCCTGCAATTTAAGAGTGGAAGGGAAGGATTTGCCTTTTGTACATCGTTATCACTATCCATGAACAAGCAAAACAACAACAGCAACAACAACAACGACAGCAGAGTCAGGTTTAGCGAACGCTCTGTATTTAAGGAAGTAATGATAATAACAACAACAACAACAACAACAGCAGCAGCAGCAGCAGCATGAACAAGCAACGCCCTTCAACTTGTAGGCGATGTTGGGAGGGCATCTTCAGTGGCAAATAGGGCACCCTTTCAGCCAACACTTAGACAAGGCCAAAGAAATCTGTACTGACTGTCCCGTCCATACTGCATAACAGAGTGTCAGATGGCTCCTGCTGTGTAAATCCTCAGATTGCAGACTATTCTCAGGGCAGAAGGGAAGCCATCCAGCTTGACCGCATGTGAGGGTTTTTATTTTTTCAATAATGCAATTTATTGTTTCCCAGTTGTCCCTACTGCTCCAAGCGCCTTGGATGGTCGCACCTTAAAAGGCGAAGTTTCAAATCTGAATCTGTTGTATCCCCAGCCACTGCTTTCAGCACCTCTGCCCGGGCCTAAGCACACCCAAAGGGGATCAGATTCAGTGTCACTGCTCACTACACATGATCGAACAGAAGCACAACACTAAGACCTATTCGGCTCACAACAAGGCCGTGCAATGGGCGCAATAGGGCAACAGTGCCCCCGATGATTCCAGTGGCACCTATCACAGTGGAAATGCACGATTCTGCAGCAGTCTTGTGAATCACATTCTCTGCCACCAGATTATTTCGATTGCAAGCCTGACTCATTTGAGAGGGAAAATTCATGGCCACCACCAAAACCAAGGTCATGTTGAGGCTCAGTCGAGCCATGAGTACAAACAACAATGACAAGAGCCACTGCTATCATCAGAACATACACACAATTGTATGCAGCGCTTTTCTCTTTGACTGCTGCACGAATTCAGATTGTTTCTTTTCCATGTGTATTTCCTCTGGGCAGGATGGGCTTGGGGTAATATTGGCGCAGATAACATTGCTGCTGTTGTGGTTGTGGACACCATTGGCACGCATTAATATGCATTAATGTTGGCTGTGGGCAATATGTTGTTGCGAGCAAAGCAGCTTGTGGCCTGCAACGTGATGAATATGTTAATGGTGTAGTCACAACACAGAATGGGATTTGTTTAAGCTTCCCACAGCCAGTAGCAACATTTCATGAAAGGGAAATCAGGAAACTGAGATATGAAACCAAAGTTGCATTTGTGCAGATTCCCAGACACAGCTGCAACGGACGGCAGACACCTTGTGACTAACCCTCCTTTCCAACTCCAGCTCCCACTTCAAAGCTGCACCCTGCACCACAGGCAAAGCATTGGTCCGTTGGTGTGAGGCTTACAGACCATTCAACTGGGCATAGGCTTCTTTTCTCCATACATGATTGAAATTTGATGTCAGACTGGTGACCTCAGCAAACTGGCACACCACAAGTTTTGCTGATTGCCGGATTTGAGCCATGGGACAGGGTTGTTCCTTCTTAGCACCACTATCTTTTTGATTGGAGCTGCACGCTGGCAAATAATTACGAGCAATATCTTGAAGAAGCCAGCAGAGGATGATGTGCACAGCTTCAACAACAGTCAGACACACTTGCACACGCAACCACAGTGTGAGGAAATGCGCATCACATGGTTAGTCACATTTCACTATTGCTGTTTGGAAGTGAGGTGTCTGTGGCATCCCATGTTTTGGCATCTGTCCAAAACACTCATCACTGTTCTCATGCCCCGTATATCTTCAGGCAAAGCACCATGACGTTTTGGCTACTGCTGGCTTGCTGGCACAATCGACAGTTATCTGTTGAAAGTCTGTCAGCGGTGTTTGGAAGAATCTCTATCCAGGACTGGGGACATCAAGAGCCCAAATGGAATGAGAGAATCCAAGACGATTGAGAGCATAAGGACAGAACATTGTCTTGCACCATCCCCTTCCTGAGCACCCGCCATACAAAATAGCTATGAACAGGCATGGATAATGTCACATTGCACTCCAATGCGGCTGCCCCATCTGTGCACCATGCCTCCCAGAGCAGGTAACAGCCAACCAAAGATAACCAACCAAAGATGTCAACATGGAAAGGACTCAAAACATACAGGTACAACGCAGCGTGGGTCGGACCGTGCCAGTTCCCCTTCTCATCTCATTCCTCACCAAATGAGCTATCCACCTAGTGCACATCTCCCACGCATACCCAGAAAGATGGAGTGCACACATTCTCCGCGATCGCAGACCAAATGGGATGAACGGCAAGGCACCGACAGGAGCGGGGTCAGATTCTTTCGCTGCAACACAAGAAAAAGCACAGCGGGAATGCCTACCTGTACTTGTGCCTGTCGCAGTTGCGTTTCAAGGAGGGTTGACTCAACCATCGCCGCCTTCCGCGCTGATCCCTCCGGAAATCCTCCTCTCCTGGGCCAGCACCGCGCGAGGGCAGCTCAAACCCAGAAGCAGCCGAAAATTTGGACAGCAGCCGCATAGGAGCAGCTAACGAGGGACGCGCGTCGGGCCCCTCTCATGTCGCTGTCGCAGGCGCCCACAGCAACGCAGGCCTTCCATGATCAGACCGTCAGCACCCCAGAAACGCCGACTCCTCACAAATGTCTGGAAAAACCGACTATGGCGCCAAGGCCCCCGCTTCCCAGAAGACACAACCGACGTGACATGAGCTTCGCAGCACGGCCTGCACTGCCCACGCCTGTGAACTGGGCCACGCGAGGTCTCCGGCCCATTTCCCACCCAACGCCGCTCCGAACTGCCGCATGGCAGCGACGGTAAGCCCGAAGCCCGCGCCAGAGAGCGCGAGTCGCGCAGGGGAAAGGATCGGGGTCCAGAGAAGTGCGGGCCAGGCACCCCCCGCGCGACGTCGAGGTCCACATCCGGTGTTGCCCTCGACGTCGCGGTCATCACCTGCCCGACCAGAGCGGCGCGCCGCCACCTCCTCGACCCTTCGCCTCCCCCGCCTCGGCAGAGAACCCCTCCTTCCTTGGTCCGCGCCGCTCTCCTCCACCGGCAGGGCCGCGCCGACCCCAAGTTGGCGTACATTGGCAAACCCAGGCTGACTGCGCAGTACACCTACGCGGCGTTTTTTTTCTCTGTGTTTTCCTCATTTCCCTTATTTCCCTTATTCCGAAAAGGCATTTGTTTGCGACGCCCCGCAACCGCCGCCGTTTTTGTGCGTGGCTCGCGCGGGACGGGCGCTGGGATTTTGGCGAAAAAATTCTGTGCAGCATGGACCAACTGAGCCACAACTGCATTGCACGAAAGGAAAGAAAGACAAGAATAAGGCAATGTTAAGCGGACCTCAGGAATGAGAATGCCAGATCCAGGAATTCAGAAGATGAAAGATGAAAGGAGGAGATGGGCTACGTAAGCCCACGTAAAAACTTGGGAAGATATGTGGTACAGTCGAACGGGATTTCTAGTTGGTGAATGCCATACCTCAAACTTGTGTTTGGATCTCCGAGCACTTTTTGTCTTTGGCTCCGAGTCGATACCCCGAGAGCGATGGGGCTGAAGAAGCTGGAAGCCTCAGCCGGACACAGTGATGAGGGAACAGTTGAGAGCTACCCGGACTGGACTCACCACATACTCTGTGGAGCTGTGCTTGAAAGATTACCAAAAGCACACACATGTGTACAAGCATTGTGTAAAAGACGAGGGAATAGCGTACTGTACAGTACACATGTGTTGAACTTGTTATGAGCTGCACAAAAGTGTGACAACGTTGGCAGTTACATACAAAAATGGTCACACTTGTTGTATCAATGGGTTCACAGAGTTGCTGTGCATTCAAAATTTCTACAAATTTGTTGCCATGGTACAAAGCGACGGAGTGGCGGACATTCGGATCATGAAACCTGGCACTTGAGACTACGCACATTTAGTGCACAAACATTGCCCAACGAGATGGCTGTTCGGGGTTGCACACAATTGGGTGGCCTGCAATCTCACAGCAGCACTCCGGAGAGGCGGACAATGGCTCGTGTGTAAAGTACCACCTCCATGGGGAAGGGAAAGGCGGCTTTGGAGCTATTTGGGGGTTTTGTGTGAGGGCGTAGAGTCGCAAGCAGAGTATATGTCACAGAGTTGTTCAGAAGTTTTAGTGGAAGCAATTTGTTGCACCACCTCTGCACGGCGCATGCGCTTTGGTTCGTCGGTTCACGTACTCCCATGACATTCATGTAAGCTAGTGGTGTTGCTTTCTGGTTTTCCTGAAGGTATTGCAATAGGGAAACAAGAAAGTTGGCGGTGCTGTAGGGAGGCGCGTGACCTGCTGGATCAGTGCGGTAGACCAATTCAGCGGTGCCGGACAAGGCAGCCATTAGCCATCATCCGCACATAATTTGCACACAATGCTCTTCAAATTTGCGAGACTTTATCCTCATTTCCAAATGATGGCGTAACGCTGCTCTCGAGTTGTAGAAAGGGGTTGGACGTTCCCGATACAATGTATGTGCTGCGACTGTTCTTGTCGATTGAGGTCGGATTTCACTTGGGAATTCACCGCTAAGTTCAGATTTTTCTGATCACAGGCCCAGCGAAGGGCGCACTGGGGCCCAACCTTCACCAATGCAGGAGGCAGGTTGCGTCAGTTTAGGGACCTGAGGTGATACAAACCAACATTTGAAACACATGATGCGGATAAACTCCTGTTGTTCGTCGCCATGGACGGCGAAAGAGCGCCGTGTGTCATCTTCTGCACGCGAAATCCAACTGATTCTGCCATGCACACGACTCCCCACGACAGGGTGAGGCGTCGGATGGTTATTCGTGCTGAGACAGCCTTACAGCATCCATGCAGAAACAATTAATTCCCCCACCTCTTCCCCCCCCAAAAGAAAACAAAGGAAAAAAAACACATCGACTGCTGTATTTTGGACGTCGATGATAGGAGAGACCGGCCAGCAACGCATGCGCCCGCTCAACGTGGGAACAGCGAAGACCGTTCAACACCCTGCGGCACCAGCGGCAAATGTGCAACAAAACAGCCAACGGAGATGGTCACGAAACCTGGGGAGCAATTTCTGGCAGCCGAATGGACTCTCTCCTCACGCAATACATTATGTCCAGGTCTTCGTCCGGCTCCCTCCAGACGTACTCAATGACAGAGCCAACGCTCATTGAGAACGGCAAAGTCTGCAACAGAGACGAGCACAACCACAGCAGGCTTATTCGCGTTCAGGTCGGAAACAGTCGAGTTGGTGGTTGAATAGCTGGCACTTCTTTACCAAGGTGCGTTCATCTTCAGTGAGGAATCAAAACTATTGAGCAGGGGCATATGACCCAAATCGCTGGACAAGCGACAGCGTTGGCATGTGAGAGATGGTAAACAATATGCCCTGCACAGCTACACACAAAACGCACCATTGCAGGAGGTCTGGATAGGGATTTGAAGCCAGCAGTAGCAGCTGCGGTGACAGGCTAAGCGAATGTTCACAGGGCAGTCGTGCAACGGGCCGATGTGGGTGGAACGCAGACATGACGCTTCATGATGTTAAAACTGCTTGTTAGCTGAAATACAACAACATACAACCAAAGTAGTCGACTAGAACCCACGACAAGTAGCGCGGTTGCTGCATTTCTGTGCTCAGATGCTAAAAGATGGCGAGCGGATACAATGAGCATACGAGACACAAACAAAGGCCCGTCATCGATTGCAGTTCGCCAAGGCCCCGGAAGGCACATGGGACTTGGCCAAATTCCCAAATGAGCCAACATGCCATGCATGTACCCATGCCAACATGCCATCATGCTACAAACCATCGTATTAGCAGGGAAAAATAACGTGTCCAGCCGCAACAAACCCAAGAGCAAGCCCAACGGTAGGCAGAGGAATGGTGAAGAGCCACTCACATAGCCCTTGCACATCAGCGTCACCTCCTGGAAGGGCTCGTCGTTGTCTCTTTTCTCGGTGTAGTATGGATCGTTACTCACGTCACAATAGTCAACAGGAGGGATTTCAACGTTGACAGGGGGATTCAACTCGAGGAGCTTCTGCTTCAGGTACTGGGACACCTGTCAAGCCCCCAAAGAAGACAGCTCAGCCATGCGCAGCAGCCAGAGCAAAGGACGCTGTCAGAAAGAGGCACACAGTTGTCCCAAGCATGTCCAGAGCCAGACGGGAGTCATTCACGAGCAAAGAGCAGCAGATGGGCGCAGCACTGGCTACCATCATAAAGCGCATTGACATCAAGGTCAGCATAACCAAACAGCACACATGCTGTAGGGAGCCCAGCAGCCACACCCAATACCTTTCTGATCTGCAGGATACGTGGCGCTGTTAGCCGACTCTGGTTCAAAGGTGGCAAGGAATCCTGCGAGGCCACAAGGAGACGGCCTGTCAGAGAACCATTCAAGACCATAATGGCACGCATCAAGCATCCACGAACATAAATCCAAGTAGTTCCGCAAGCCAACCGTACATGGCATATGCTACAGTCGACTACGCCTCTTGACAACCAATATCCCCATTGTTTAGGAACAAACGTGAAGACAATCAGCAAGAAAGCAATCCTGAGTACAATCATAGTCTTTCAAACTGCATCGAATTCTATTAACCGGGAAGGAACCTGGGAAGGAACGAGCACATCTTCCAATTTGTCCTGTTACAATGAAAACACGCCTCATACAATGCAGAGTCCCCACTCAGAATTTCGTGAAACTATTGTCCAACTGCAAACAATCACGCACAACACTACCAATGCAACAGGACAACAAGGCCTCACAACCAAAACAAACTGTGAAACAAGCTTTCAGCTGTTTTCAAGTCATCCTCTGCCATTCTTTACCCCTCCACCCACCACACACAGGGACATAGTTCTCAGACTGCCAACATTCACACAAACTGTGGACCTCAAGAGGTGTCCCCACAAGCATTGAGATATGCATCAAGGTAGACAGATCAGACCTACATCAAGAGGGAGAAGGTGGAAGGAACACTTCCAGCTTTTCTGCATGGGTATCCGCAGCCTCAAGACGCACTCTGCAACCCACTCAGGTATATCTTCTCGATCGTTGACCTTCTTCGGGAGATCGTGAATGGAAGCTTTCCAAGGCTCACCCTCAGTGTTGGTTGAAGACACCCACACTGCCAATATACATGCCATCAATGAGGCAACACACTGCAACTGAACTCTCCCAATACTCCTTGCTTCAAGGTGACTTGCATTGCAACCTTCCAGACCATTACTATTGCTCACTGTGGACAAGTAGACAATGCAGTAGACTACACCAGCACAACCTACCGATTTCAGCATTTGGTTCAGTTGGCAGTATGTAGTGCAGCTTGGCCACAAGAATAAGAGCAAAGAATGACACAAGGAAAAGAGGAGTGAATTGACAGCACACATGGGTCCCATCTGCAGGGGAGCAAGAAACTTGAAGAAAGTGTACAGTGCTTGTGCGCTCACCTAGTGGTTTCGACCGTTCCCAAAACCTGAAACTCTGCACCGTCTTCCCCTCCCCATCTACCCAACCCTTGCCCCACAAATCCAATTCCTCTGGTGCTCGCTCTAGATATTTGGGGTTCCTGTGGAAAGCCCATGGAGCGAGCACACTCCTCAGCATTCCATCACCGTAGTTCATCCGCCTGTCTTCTGGTGCATCCGCTCCAAAATCCCTTGCATAGACTTCAGCAGCAAAGCACTTTGGAGTCTCTAACGTCACTGTGACCATCCCCAGCCTGTTGTCATGGTCGAACCACTTTGGCACACAGTTTGGCTCAAAGAGTTCGACCTCCTTTGCCTTGAAATCCACCACTCCGAAATTTCTTACAATCCTGCCTGACGTGACGTCCAGAATCGTCACCTCCCCCTTCTGGTCCTTTAGGAGCATGTGACGCTGGTCCCTCAGAACGGCGCGATCAACGATGGCTGCACAACACGATGTGTTATTCCTCATGGACTTCATGTGTCAGAAACCATTGTCAACACAGAGCAAATCACTGCCCTCTCACACATTGGGAGTTGTTAGTTGGACGTTGCAATCGCTGCTGTTGGTCCCTGGTGAGTTTGTGCTTGTGTTCCCAAGGGAACCAGACTGCAATGCACAAGGCTTATATTGAACATCCTGCTCATGAGGGTGGGCACATGCACTTCCTGGTAGGATCATTGGCCAGGTACGATTACCTGGAATGCCGCTTAATGTGGCAGCGGGTCTGCACTGCAAAGGCTCCAAGACTTTGTTTGCCTCAGATGGACGCCGAAGAGACGAAGTGAAAAGATGTGGCCTGCCTGCTCGAACCACAAGATGGTTCAACAGTGGTGTCCACAGAAAGGGACAGGCAAAGATGAGGGCTAGCACGTGGCAACTGGCTGACAGCGTTGCACCATATAAGCATGCATGTGGCTCCTGATACATAGCAGCTACGTCCTGCTGGCACGCTGCCCAATTAGGTTGAAATGTGTTCAACATCTGCTCGCACACTTCACACAACACCCTAACGGTGGAAAATGCACTCTGCTAAATCAGCGAGCAGATGCATCTGGTTGTCTACCCAACGCCTGTTGCTGCTCAAAATGTGCTGAGAAGAACTGTGCAATCGTCAAGCCTGGACACTCCATGCTGTTATGACACAGTAATGGCTGAGAGCGATATGCTGGTTTAAATACCAGGTACCAAGCGACAATACAAAGCTAAGGTTCAACAAACAAACAAAACACAGGCAAGGGAAACAAACACATCATAACATATCAATAATCATAATCAAAAATCAAATAACATCAAATAATAAGCAGTGTCAAATAATAATCAATAATCACATAGTAACATAGGCAGGGAAATGCTCTGCACAGAGACCCACAAGCAGCTGCAGAAGGGGTGTAACACATAACAAATTGGCAGTGGAAGCCCAGGCATGTCTCAGGGTAGGCAGCGTGCACACCCACCTGGCACAGCTTTGTTCCCATCAGCAGCATTCCACAGTGATGAGTCAGTGGGCAACTTCACAGGAATGTCCCACTTGTTGACACTGGAGCTTGCTGAAGCAACCCAGATGGAACCGCCACTGGGGCTGGCAGCCTGGAGCCAGTCACACATAGACACATGAAACACAAGACCCAAACCCTCCCCAATAACACTGAAGCCAACAACTAGCTTCTGATTGTCGCATCTGTGCATAGCTGATGATGTCCAACTATTGTTGATAGGTGCAAAGGCTGTGACTACTCACATCACATCAATATGAGCAATGCACATTACCCATGGCTGGGAGAGGGCACACACTCACCATTTTGGTGATTGGGTACTCTTCGGTAAAGAGCAGCTCGCTCGTGCGATTCAACATGTTTGTCCTGTAGACGCATTTGTCCCTTCCACCACTCAGCACCACATTGAAGTTCTCGGAGGCAAGCAGGGACCACACAGAGTCCGTGTGCACACTGCATGTCTGCCAAAACACAACAGCAATTCAGCAGCTGTTGATGAGGAGATTATAAGCTGGGCGATGTCATTCACAAACAATACAATCTGGCATTTCAAACCCGAAATGCCTCCATACCACTGTTGTATCTATACATTTGCAGCCCGCCCAACCCCCCCAACCCTCAATTGGCTTTACCATGCTCTGCTGGAATACCACAACGGCTGCAGCCACCCACATGAAGCAAATGATGCCACATTTCCTATGATGTGATATATCCTAATGGCACTTCGTCACACCCACACCACTCCAAAACATGGGGTGCATCGAAGCTGCGATACACCCTATAGGTGTTTTGCAGGCAAGACTGACCCTGCTAAACTGTGATGGTAGGAAGCTGCACTGCACAGCTACTGCTAAAACGCACACAACAGCACACCACACTGCTGATATATCCACAGAGTCCATTGACATGTACAAATTCAACTTAAACATGCTGGGCTGCCACGTTATCTGAACAACCACACTCAGCAAAGCAGACAGCTAAATCTGTACCTGCACACATCTCTGAAGGCCCAGATCCCACAACTTGAACGTGTGGTCCGATGACCCAGACAGAAGCCTTGTGCCTTCTGCATTAATGAGAAGGGCACGGATGTTGCCAGTGTGGCCCTGCCACACCAACATGAATTGTTAGCAAAGAGTGTAGCCTCCAAATGCCACTACCACAATGGAACTATGTGCATCAACAATCAACGCCATTGCAATACACCAAGTGGAGCTATGACGAGCAAAAAGGCTGTCAGACTACACTAAACTTGTTTTCCAAGCGCATTCTGCTCAGGAACTTGCATTAAAATGCCAAAATCCAGCATATCTTGCAATTGCTTGTCCACGCAACAGTTCTGTGACCCCAGAATGACTAAACGGCACTTGCATCTTTTAGTCATGATTCAAGCAGGCGGTCAGCAACGCATCCGTCAGCTGCTAGCGACAAAGCATGCATGGTTGCACATGCTGCCAAAAAAATTCTAACCGACCCAAACAAACAAAACCCACAAAAAAATGCCAGGGTACTCACAAATGGTAACAAGACACACTACTCAGAAAAGACACATCCACAGTTTGAACTCACTTGTTTGCTTGCTGCAACTGAAATCGGAAGACTATTGAAGTGGCTACTCCAGTAACAGTGGATTCTGTTTCTGCAGGAATCCCAACTTTGAGCATTGTATTGCCCACTCCCATGGGAATGCGAATGACTGGAAGCCACTGCAGACTTGGGCTGGGCCAAGCAACTGCCACACAAGCATCGATGCAGTGGACTTTTCAACCTGTCCTTTGGTGTGAAGCCAGGGGCACAACGTCCTGCGCTCACACCATATTCATGGCATCGTACCTTGAGCTTCATGACCTTCTTGCCTTCCCGCACGTCAAAAATCCGAGTGATGTCGTCCGATGAGCCTGCAGCAACGAGCTTGCCTGTTGCACTCAGCGCAACTGCATACATGCTCCCCTTTTCTTTGTTTGTGTCATGTGGGAACAGCTTCACACTCGTCATCATCTCAGGGCTTTGCTGGAAACAAGCACACGTAGCTGTGCTGAGTCCAATACAACGTACAGCAGGACCAGTCAACGGAACTTGAAGAACAGCAGCGAAGGCCATGAGTGACCAATATCAGGTTTGGATCGTTTGGCCACTGGCCCTTCTTCAGGGAGTCTGGCAAGGACATGGCGCCAATTCTTTGCTGGAAACGGTTTTCGTTGCTTGTCTACAGTCCAGGTGCAACGGCAGCACTTTGCTGCGTGTCTTGACAATCGTCACAACCAGGAATCAATACTCCATTGCTGCAGAGGGTTGCAACATTGCTTGGACGACTTTGTATTCGTTGATACTCAGTTCAAAGTTGCGTACTGGTGTACTATCCAGCAAGTGTGCAGTTTAGCACCAGGACTCCATTGTACCACGTGCAGTTACTCTTGCTGCTATCGTTGCTCTAAGTGCACGTGTTCAACATCCCATGGCAGTATTCCTCATTACCATCTTGGCGAGTCTCTGACATGATAACTTGATTTAGCTCTCCCAATTGTGAACGAAATGACATGCATTGATTGCTTTCATAATGTGGTTCATCCTTGAGTAAAAAAGATGGCAGGCAAGCAACAACTCTGAGACAATGCATGCAAGACAGCTGAAAATGCATCTCCACACTGCTTGTAGAAAGTACGGGCAGGCCTGGCATACCTTCAAGTCCCACACACACACTTCCGCCCTGAGACCTGCTGATGCCACCAGTCCCTCTGAGGGGGCAGCAGCAAGGGATATTACATAGTCAGTGTGACACTGCGAGGACAGCATCTGTTGACCTACACAGCACAGTGGCAGGCTCAGATATACCTACATCACAAGCAAAATCAGGTACAAGCCTTGGACAGGCTGTTAGCCTTGTGAAAAGCATACTGTGTATCCACATTCTCCCGATCAGACATCATCCCTGAGAGAAGATCAGCAACCACCTAGTTGTGAGCCTCGTGTGGTGGCTGTGTACCATCATTATCCTAGATACACTTCATGCTAAATTCCTCTGTCCAACACACAGTGTCACTACAGCCCTTTGTCGGTTCAAGGAATGTGGCATATTTTCAAGAACTATTGCCACAGGCAGTCTGGGCTGTGAAAATAGTTGTTGAGGGAAGCCTACACATACCTGATGAGTAAGCATCCCACACTCGCAACGTTTTGTCCGATGCCCCAGTCACCAGGATGTTGTCTTGCACCAATACTACATCATTGACCCACTCGCAGTGACCATCAAAACTGGCCTCAAATCTGGGCTTCTGTCCCTCTGACACATTCCACCTGCAAGGATATCATGCGACTTGTCCAAGAACGATGGTGCTGATTGAAGATCAAATTCAGGAAAGTTGTACAGACACATGCCCATCGTCACCTATAAGGTATTTGGACCATATCCTGTCAATCGTAAAAAACACAGCAACACAGCATGGCCTGCTGCCCTTACGCCAACCTCTTGCCTGATATGTATAGATGTATGGGAAGATCGTGCAAAACTAGTATGGCATGAATAAAAGCTTTCCCCCACGTCCCAAGTAAGCCATGCATGACTTGCAGATCAACCTCATTCAAATCCATATTGTGGATACCATGGATAAAAAATATGGATATTCCATACTAAGCAATTGTGAGCCAGGGGCATGCAAATGACCTGGTAAAACAACAAGTGGCTGACAGCCAACTTGTCTTCCAGCACATACTTGGCAATGCGCACTGCCTGTCTGCAGGAGTTCAACCCAGCCATGTGCACAAAAATGGATCGTGCATCGTTCACAGGGTGCGCAAGCCGGCCGCATCTCATCCACTTTGTTGTGTTGTCAGATATGCTGAGCTGCACCTCCAAACAGGTGAGTGGTGAGAAACAAGCACCCAACGACTGCAACCTCTGATGACATGGCACCAATCCATGAAGACACAAGCGCACTCCTGCAGCCCAATCCCCACCCCTTCCCGCCCCCGCCCCCTCCGCAAACCCACCTCTTCACCGTCGAGTCCCTGGAGGCCGTGAAAAGGTGCTCCCCGGTGGCCGACACGACCAGGGACTGAACCCCGCTGCAGTGCTGCACCACACCACACCGCGGCGCCCGCCACTCAGCCACCCGCACACAGCCTCCCGCGCGGCTCAGCACCCGTGAGTCACAAACCCATAAGGCCACACCTCCGGCGAAACAGGCCGCCTCCCTTCCGCTGCCACCTCGGAAACTTCCGGCCAGTCCCGCCATCTCCGCATTCCTCCCACCGCGTCGCAACACACCCAGAGGCGCCGCCCCAATCCCTTCGGCTCCATCACCATCCAGCATCCCTCCCACTCAATCGGATCCACGCGATATATATACAAGGATCCGTGGTTCGGACGGACGCTCGTCATCTCGCAACGGAGACGCATCATCTTTTCACAGCACGGAAAGAGTCTCGCAGACGCTTGATTAGGAGGGGGCGCCCTCTGTGTTGCCCGTTTCTTCCTCCCTTTCCAACAATCTCAACAATCTTTCCCCGGCGTTGCGCCCACCGGCGCTGCCCCCCGGCGCCCTCCCCCACGCCCCCAGACACTCACCTGGTCGCCGTAACCCCTGCCGAACGTCACGGCCACTTTCCTGTCCTCGCGTCCGCCCCTGTGGCTGCGCCCCCCCGCCCCCAGGCTCGCCGAGTAGCCCGACGCCCCCCGGCGCGCGCCGTTCATCCCCGACCAGCTGGTGCGCCCGCTGCCTCGCTCGCTATCCTCTGTCTCCTGCGTGACGGGCGTGGGGGGGGTGACGACCTGCGCGGAGGCTGCCTGCGTGCTGGAGGACCGCGAGCTGCTGCCCGTCTCCTGCTCATCACCGCTGGGCAGGCCCTCGCCAGGCCCGCCCGACCAACAGGACCAGAAATCCCGCGGCAGGCACTGGGTGCGCGAGGGCGCTGAAATGGTGCCGAATTTGCGCGATCCGGTGTCTCCTGCCCCCGCTCTGCCGACCGGATCGCGGGCGCGCCTGGAAGGCTGCCCCCCCGGCGGCGTCGAGCCCGATCGTCGCCCAGTGATGCCTTTGCGGGCCGGTGCGGATGGGATGATGCGATGGCCTTTGCAGTGTGGAGAGTGGAGGTTGGGGTAGAGGGTGCGCGGCACCTCGTGGTCGAGCAGGGTCCCGGGGGGGGCGGCCGTCTGGTGCCCGCGCGTCCTCGACGGGCGACGCGGACAGGGGCCCTGGCCTGCTGTTGGGAAGGGGTGCACGCAGCGGGAACAGCAGGGAGGCAGCTTCAAATTTGGGGCAGTTGGCTCCTGCAGGTATTCTATTTTCTTTTAATTTATTTTACTTTTTTGTGGAAGGGGGTTGTTCTTCCACCTTTGGCCCTGCGCGATTGGTGTGGCAAATTTTTAAGTTTCAGTCCAGAAGTCGGGCCTTCGGCCCCGACGTTCTGCACTTTTTCGTTCCTATGCTATCTATTCAAAGCCACTGACTCGCTGGCTAGGCTGGGCTGCGCTGTTGGGTTGTTCATGTTTTCCATTCCCTGTCGATTTGCTCATCACGTTCTTTGCTATGTCCTCTGCCACTGTCGCTGCGCTGAGGGCTGCACAGCACCGCCGCGTGAGTTTGCTCCCGCTATGCTGCACGGGGAGACCTTGTCGGGGGCTGCAACTTCGACCATTGAGTTTTGGGACGCAAACCATCGTCGTTGCGGCCATCGGCCATGGACGCCGCAATGCTGCGGCATCGCATCGGAAGACGGGCGTCGAGCGTAAGCGGGCACCGAGCACCGCAGCCACGACAGCAGTAGCCGCGCCGCTCCCGTCGGCCGCCCTTGAGCGCACCTCAAAAATTCCACGGAGCCGCCCGCCATCATACTGCTTTCAGCGATTGAATTCTCCACCATCACCAGCATGCATCGCAGAATTGTTGGCTTTGCCTTTCCCAAGGAATCTCCCCTTCGATGGGGCACTTGCTGCACCCTTCCCGATTGCGACAATCCCTCCCAACTTCGACCGTTGAGTTTTGGGACCCGAGCCATCGCCACTGCGGCCATCGGCGCTGGTGATGGCCGTCAACGCCAGCGCGACGACGGGGAATCGTGTCCCACTATCACAACATGCGGCTCCACACCTCGAGAGAAGGCGCTGGGTTCGGCGTGGCCTCTACCGGGATCGCCCACCACCATCGCCGTCGCTTGCCATCGCCACGGGTGTGATTCGCAAGCCATCGCCGCAGCCGCATTGCCCTCAAGCGACCCAAAAGCGCATTCGACATTCACGACCCGCGATTGACGCGCACCACGCGCTGTGATCACGATGGCGAAGGTCCATGCCCCAACCCGAGCTTGCGCTCAAGCACGCAACCCAACCCGAGTGGGAGCTGCACACCCGCTCTCTGCTTTCCAAAACTTACTCCAGGGCCGGGGGCCCCCGAACGCTTGGACTTGAAGGGCGCGCTGATTGCATCCGGTGCCGCGGTCGCTGCGCCGAAGCCTGCCATAGCAGAGCGTTGGAAGGCTCTGGAGTACCTCCGCGGCTCGACTGGAGCCCTCGCGGGAACTGCAACACCGAGCCGCGCGTTTGGGTGCGGGCCATCGCCGTTGTGACGATCGGCGCCGGCGATGGTCTCCATTGCCGCCGCGACGACGCGGAATCACGTCGGGAACGCGCGCCTCGAGCGCAAGCGCGCACGGCGCGCTGCAGCCACGGCAACGATAGCCGCGCACCTCCCATCGGCCGCCCTCGAGCGCAGCCACCGGCGCCACCCAGGAACGCATATGCCCACAGCATCACTCGGGTTACAAAATTGCGTGGCATTGCGTTGCGAGGCACCGGGGTGCCGATGCGTGAAACGCGTTTTTGCATCGGCAAGCCTGTGCGTGGGAAGGGCGTTGCAACGCGTTGAAATGCAGTAATGTTTTCTTGTGTACGCGTCGGCATATGGTCATCCCGTTGCGAAAAAAATGCCAGCCCACGCACGGGCGTTCCCACGCACGGGCTAGCCGGCGCGTGGGCTGGACGTGGGCTGGCCGGTGCGTGGGCGCAACGAGGGCGCGGCGTGGGTTGGCCGGCGCGTGGGCGCGACGTGGGCTAGCCGGCGCGTTGGTGGAACGTGGGCTGGCCGGTGTGTGGGCGTGACGTGGGCCAGCCGGCGCGTGTGCGCAACGTGGGTTAGCAGGCGTGTACACACCCACATGTGGGCGCGACGTGGGTTGAGCGCATTTGTGCCTGTGGGTGTTTTTGGCTGCTGCACGCTGGGTCCACTGTGTTTGCGTCGGGTCCGTCAGCGTTGCCTATACCCTCGCCGCCCATGCAGGTTTCCCGGTTTGCCAAGTTTGCCAAACATGGTTCAAAAGAACAACCATTTACAACTTGTCTCTCCCGCAACAGCACCACACCACACCACGCACTGCACCCCGTCCGATGAACAACCCCAGTGCCATCTACCGCCGCAGTCCCCTTCCCCAAGGGCCTGCACCTGCGCATCTGGACCTATAACACCACAACAACACACCACACCACCCCCTACACCACACTCTGCGCGCCATCCGCTCAGCGACCCAAGTGCCATCTACCACCGCAATCCTTTTCCCCATCGCAGCCCCTTCCCCATCGCATCTCCTCCACTTCGCGCTTTCCGCGTGGCTGTGGATTAGAGGTGGCCACTCAAAGATGCCATCCGGTCCGTTAAGTCCGGTTCGTTAATTTTTATCAGCTGTCCGTTAAATTCCGTTAAAGAAAAAGGGAGAAAAATTCAGAAAAAAATGAAAAAAAATCCAAAAAAATCGAAAACCCCCCCAAAAAAAATCACAACAATTGCGGCTAGTTGAAAATCTAGTATGCATAGGTTGAAATAAAATACAAACATACTCTCTAATAGCGAATTCCATAAACTATAAGTATGACTAAAACCTAAAAATCCCCAAAAAATCCAAAAATCCGCTAATTTTTGGTTAATTTTTGTCTTTTTTCGTTATTTTCCGTTAATTAACGGAAAATTAACGGAAATTAACCTCTGTCCGCTATTAACGGATCCGGGTGGCCACCTCTACTGTGGATAAGCTCGCTGTAGGCGCTGGCCCTGCGCACACCTGCATACACAAACACGCACACACATATATGCGCACAAACCTGCACACACAAACGCAGCTCGTTCAGGGTGGAGCGACACCAAAAGCACGTTTTCACCGGCTACTGGTGTCGCATGCTGGTGTGGAGGTCCAGGATGGGCGTTACCAGAAGTAAGGCCAGCAGGCGCCCACCTGCCCTTCTCGGCTTGCAAGCGTCCCTGACCCTCACCTGCACAGCCTCACTCGCCAGACCTGCTCGTGTCCACTGGCCCAGCGCGATTAGCCCCCCCTCGACAGCGGGGAAGGTTGGCGGGATTGGTGGCTGCAGACTTCGCGGCCATGTTTAAGTCTGAGATTCAAATTCGTATGTACCAAAATGATGATGCGGCAGGTTGCGGCGCGCTGGTCGTCGGCGCGCCCCAACGACCAAGTCAACCGCACCTGGTAGGTGTGGCAGGTGGCGGGGGACTCTTCCTCTACAATTGTTCGGCTTGAGGTCTGCGATGCGCACAGGGGTGCCAAACCTTGGAAGATCTGTGATGCCCTCGGGGGTGCCAAAACGCGGAAGCCCAGCAGGGGGCATCCTTACCAAAGCGGTCCTGAACATGAAACGTTGCCTTGCCGTGTGGTGTCTCCTTCCCTGGTCGCGTTCAGGTCTGCCTTGCGATCGGGGCCCACAAGATAAAGCACAATGAACTCCATTGCACCAAAATATGGAGCCATAAGGTTCCACTACTGCAGGTCCATGTTCAAGATCTGAGTTCCATGCTTCCCTTGCTGTTGTTGGATATGGTATGGAAGCAAACGCATCGAACAGGGACACTTGGCACTCAGCTGGATTGGCCCGCAACGTGGATTCTATTTTGTCATCAATGGCTGCTCAATCTGAAGCACACACACCGAAACACATGTGCTAGGCTGTGCACAAAGGCACCAAAGTTCAGCGCATCTTCCTTAGCATTAACCTCGCTATATACAAGGCAACACATGCTGCATGCTGCATGTATGCAATTGCATGCTCATCACCAGAACAATGCTCATCAACAGTGAAAACATTGGAACTACAAGACACTCTTTGGTGTGAAATGGATCAGCAATAGATCCTGAATGTCTGTACATGTTCTGCCACCACAGGTACTTGATTACTCTGACTAATGTTATGTGCAGCTGTCACAAGAGAATCTCCTGGCAAGATGATTGTAGAAATGGCCAATAAGTTAAGAGTCAAAATCAGATTCGTTGATGCATTCTGGTTGGTGGCGAGTGCTTCATCTAGTGCAGGGAG